CAGCCTTAATGAATTATTAGCCATTCTGACTCATCTGAAACAATCATAGTGATTCTGATAAATTAAGAAATATTTTTAAAATGCAGAAACTGATTTGGAATTCCTGTAAGTCAAATATTCATGCTCCAAAAACAAATTCAAGTTATCAGAAATGTAATATCTAAATGTTAATAGTAACCAATTTAAAATCAATTAAATATTTAATGAATACCAATGCATTAAACATTAATATTTATAATGAACAAGATAATTATATTTTAATAAAATTCATTCATGATTTTAATATTTAAATGTTATATTTACATTATGATCAAGATAGTTTAATACTTAATATTAAATTATCTGCAAATATCCTGAATAATTTAACTGTGATAAGACCTAAAATAATACATTATTTTCTGAAAGTCAACATATTTATTATTTCAGTGACAAAATATAGGCCCCAAAGAGACAAATACAATTTCAGTTTTCATACACAAAACATAATGTATGAAGATTCAGAATGAAGTGTCCCACTGAAGGACTGAATTTTTATTTCTGTGGGCTTATTTCACATCATTTCTAAATGAGAAGCTCCATCTCTGAGTCTTTGGAATGCAGAACCCTGTCATTCGGGAGAGCATTCCTTCTTCCCCTCCCAGTGCCTTCACTTGACCTCACAGTTCTTCCTGCCAATGTGAGCTAGAAAGGAAGGTGCCTGGGACAGCTGACTCTGAGACTCCTCACATAACTCTCCAAGTCTAGGGGGTTGCCAGGAAACTAAACATTGAGGCTACCAGTTTTGTAAAAATGCAGACATTCCATTGGAATTTAGTATCAGTACCCATGATACAACCACAATGTAACAGAGAGGAGTTACTGATTCAGATCGGAAGTAAATGAATAGCTGGAGATATGAGATTTACATTTTGGAATAGCCATTATTGATTTAAAAGACTGTGTACTATTGATTAGAGATAAGCTATAAATAGATAATAGTTAATATATAAAGTATGAACAGTTCATAAAAACAATCAATCAATATTTGACTTGTGTGGGTCCTCAAATCACTGCTCATCATCTGTATTTACATTTTATCATCTGCCTATTTGGATATTTTATTATAAGCAACTTATCACCAACTACCTAATACCTAATATCATACTACAAAATACCTGATGCCACAATCTGAGTGCACATAATGCATATTAATTTAATTGGGCTGCAAGGTTATAGTGTTGAGCTCTTACTATTCCTTGTCCTCTTACTTTGTCCTTGCTCTATTGCCTGTATTATTACAATTATTACAAGAAGATTCTCAAAATTCAAATCTCAGGACCATATGGATCTACAGCAAGCACTTTATTTTTTGGTTATGGAAAAAGAGAAATGAAATTTAGTTAGTAAAATAGGTAAATACACGTCATTAGGTAAAAATTGCTGCCTAATTAATATCTTCCTTATGTTCAGACAATCAAATCCCTTTCTACATTTTCCCTATTACTTTATTATGAAGAATTTATTGACTACTTTCTATGTGCAGAAAATTTCTGGTTGGTAAGTGGTAATTTGGCCCAGAATGAAATTTAGTGCTTATGGATAGTTAGTTATCCTAAAGTAAAATGGATCACTTCTTTCTAGACTTTGCTACAGCAGGAGAACCAGACTACAAAGAAAGTACAATATAAGACTTGGGATTATAGAGGTGAGCCCTGGCCCTCCAGACCATAGCCCTTGCATCTCCATTAACAGGCTTGAGAAGCAAGTTTGTATTTACACACGTTTTCCAATAGCATTACATAGTATTGACATTTCAAAATGTAAATAATTCAGAAATAGAAATCTCATCTCTTATCACCAGATATCATCAAATTTATCCTTTCCATTGATCTCAGTGCATGTAATTCTGTAAAGCTCATGAGCATGATTTTCCTCAAATTGATGTATCAAGTGTAAAAAATGATTGTATTTTGCAAGTAAAAGTTCAATTTTTCCAGAAATGACTACTTACAAATAAGAATATGTCTTATCATCAGAACATAAGTTTCAAGAGATTGTTCACTACAATATCTCCAAGATTGAGATCAATGGCTTACATATGTTAGCCATTAAATAAATATCTGTTAAATGAGTAATGTTCTTTCAACTTGTATAAAATTATTACATAAAATGGTTTAAAATCTGGTGCAGTTTGTTATCTGCAGGTATAAGTTTCTCAACATTAAATATCAGAAACCAAGGAGGGACAATGTCCACCTTGTATATCATCATATTCTCAGAGACTAGCAATACCTATATGCAAATTTTCAATGAATTAAAGAAAGGCTCAGTTTGTGTCTTACTCATTGATCATCCTGAGTAACCAATTGTACATGGCATGTGGCCTGATTCCTATATGATCAAGAATGTGCTTGGAACAATAGAAATATAAGTATTGCTGTGTTGAACTCCAAGAGTGCTGCAGGGGCAGATGTGGAAGCTCTAAAATGCTAGGCAATCTTACACCTCAGCCTGGCTGGTCCCCTGCTGTGGCTTTGGAGACAGCCTAGGATTTGGATGCTAGTGTTTTTATTAAATACCATCTGATGCCTTTGACCCCTTCCTTCCAATGAGTGGAAATTATATAAGGAACAAAACTAAAGCTGTACTTCCTATGGCAGCTTTCCAAATGAGCCAGAACTGTGCAGACTTGTTCATCACGTATATTTCTGTGAAATACTTTCTGAAATTGTGTTAATTTGTTTTGGAAAAGAGTTCTAGCTATATAACAGCAAAATATTAGGTTAATTTGATTAGTGTTAGGGAAACTTGGATTTGGGAGTGAGCCTGGTGCTCATTTTGGATTATTTACTTTTTTTCCTGAATAATAGTATAAAAGATCTCCTTCCCCTTAAAATAGTGAAATAGCAAGTGATAGCATTTTGAGAAATCCAAATTTAGGAAGGAAGATTTAGGATTTAGGAAGGAAGCTGAACGACTTTCCTTTAAACAAACTCAGGTTTAAAGTACCACATCCTGTTCTTTTTACCAAGTCCACTGAACCCTGCTCCCGCCTCCTGACAAAATCAACACACCCCCAAATAATCAGACACACTTGAATTCACATTCTTGTTCTGTCACTGGCAAATTGTTGAACTGAGGCAAGGTACTTAATGCTCTGAGTCTCAGTTTCTCATCTGAAAAATGCAGATGACAATATGGGTATGCATCCCAAAGCCTTATCTGTTTCCCATCCTTCTCTAGAGGATTCTAATGGGGATTAGAGTATACAAATAGATAGATGTATAATGTCTGTAAGAATTACTTCTGCAATTGCTAATCCTCATTATAAAATGCTTAGTACAGAGCCATAATAGGTACTTCATGTGTGGTAGCAGCAATTAATAGTATTTCAACCACTGATGAGAATATAAGAACAGAAGCTGAGCCTCACAGCCATACTCTCACATTGACTTCACCTTTGTTGTTCAGTTTCCTCATAAAAATGGGGATAAAGATATTTTATCTCCTCACTTCCTCCATGACCATAGTCATAATATTTCAATTTATTTTAAAGAAATAAATACAAAATATCTGTAACTAATCATCCCATGATTGGTTGGTAGTGGTGGCTTATTTTTCTCCTCCTATTTCTGGGCTTGGCCTTGTGTTAGTTTATGACTTGTTTTAAGGAACATATTCTTCTTCCTTTCCTCTCGACATCAGGACTTGCCTTTCCCAGCATCCTACGAAGCCCCAAACACAGCAACAACCATTGTCTCCTTTATTTTTCACCATAGAGAGGAATAAAGTGAACATGGTATTATTTAATTTATTTATTTTTGTTAGAGACAGGGTCTCACTCTGTTGCCTAGACTGGAGTGCAGTGGCTATTTGCAGGCATGCTTATTGCACAATTATAGCTTCAAACTTTTGGGCTGAAGCAATCCTCCTGCCTCAGTCTCTGGAGTAGCTAGGACTATAGTCATGCACCAATGCCAAGCAGTCTTGGTATTATTTTAATAAAAATTCAAGACTATAAATATTTATATGAGTGTCATTTTTTAAGGTGGGCACCTAGTGATGCTATTTATTTATTTATTTATTTATTTATTTATTTATTGAGACTGAGTCACGCTCTGTTGTCAGGCTGGAGTGGGGTGGCACAATCTCGGCCTACTGCAACCTCCGACTCCCTGGTTCAAGCTATTTTCCTGTCTCAGTCTCCCGAGTAGCTGGGATGAGAGGCATGCACCACAACGCCCAGCTAATTTGTTTTGTATTTTTAGTAGAGACGAGGTTTCACCATGTTGGCCAAGATGGTCTTGCTCTCCTGATCTCGTGATCTGCCTGCCTCGGCCTCCCAAAGTGCTGTGATTACAGGCGTGAGCCACCGTGCCCGGGTACATATGTATTTTAAAGAATCACAAAGTACGTCTCAAAAATGATGTACTGTATTGATATGTCATAGGAATTCAATAGATCTTAATTGAGTATAATTATGATTAATTTTAAGTGGTATTTTAATTAAGGAATATATTTTTTAAATAAATTAATTTTATAGACTGACATCCTTATTGACTATCAATTTTTATGAGCCAAGCCTTATTTGGCTATGCATGCTAGAAAAATAACCTGAGAATTATTTTATAATAACAATTTCTGCCCTTAAAGTTTGTAAATATTTTAAATGTGTATTACTCTGATGATCTTTTGACAGCAGAAAAGACACAATATTGTTGCCAAATCAATGAGTAGACAATGAACACAGTTAAACATACAAGACACTATTCAGAATGATCACTGTTGCTGTTGAAAATGATTTATGATTGTGATTAATTGCTTTTAAAATTTTGATCAAAATTGATCTGTCTAATTTTCTGGTACTAGCTGTGTAAGTCAAATCTCACTCTGGAATTACATAAATCAATTTAGTCTAAACTTCTGGAAAAACCAGGGGGAGAAAGATGGAAATAATTTTCGAGTTGTCAGTGACTGATGGATGTTCCGATTTCACAGTTTTAGTAAAGAAAAGGTCTTACCGTAGCTGTCATAGGCATCCTCACTTACTCCATGACCGTAGTCATAGTATTCAGGCACACTGCAACAAATTTAGACAGCAATCAATGTTACTGTAACCGGGAAAATCAACCCAGAAACTCATATGGAATTTGAAGGCAAAATGTGTGCTGAGGTAATATTCCAGAGACTTCAAGGCATAAGACACAATCCTAAATAAATCTTCAGTAAGAAAAACACAGGTTATTGACAAGGAGTGCTATGATGTTTTGTAATGCCACCTCAGTATTTCTTTATCTCTATCCTCCAATTTGATAAATCAAATTTCCCCTAAAACACAAGTATAACACTTCAAAATCTGTCAGGAAGACAGTTATAACAGGCCTGTTTCCAAGAAAAAGTGCTCTCTAAGATGACAATCTGGTCAATCATGTATGGCTTTTAATGCTGTTATCTTAAGAAATATGCATCATTTTTTTCACGTTGAAACACTAAACTATATTTATACTCCCCTCTATCCCTTTCACATCATGTCTGTGCACTCCCCAAATATATAAGCTATTTTGTTACACTCGACATTTTACTAGATGCTTCCACATTTCAATAACTGTCGACGGTGTTCTTCCTCCATTTCTTACTCAAAGGACACTCTCTCTCCGACCCACTCTGTTACCCCTTTACAATTGTCCTCACTCTTTCCTGCTGCATCCACTTCCCCCTTTAAGGCATGATGCCTACTAGCATTTCAAAATCTTATGTGTTTCTTATCCGTAAAAAGCTCTCCCTCATCCACATAACTCCTTCTAGCAATTATCCCATTTCTTGAAAAGAAGTGACTCTACTCACTCTTTTCACTGACTCTTCTCCATAGGCATTTGAAGACGCTCAGTCAGGCTGCCATTCCACTGCTCCACTGAAACAGCTCTTGACAAGATCTTAACATATTCACATTCAATGGCCAAGACTTAGTGTTCATTTTACTTTAGCACCATTTAACATGGTTGATTACTTCATGATTCTGCAAACACTTCACTTGCTTCTGAGATCTCCTCTTTCATGGGTCTTCAAGTGCACTTCATTTCTTCATTCTTCCCTATGGTTACCTTCTCATTTTCCCAATCACTTATTCTTGGAGACCACTAGGGCTCAGTTGAATGTTTCTCTTTTCTATTCATGCTTACTCCCTAGGCAGTCTCATCTAGTTCCTAATGTTCTACCTAGTAGCAAATTCACTTCGAATTGCAAAATATATCCGGAATCTGAACATGTCTAAACATATTCAGAGCTATCACTGAGTTAAAGTTATTACTATCTCTCATTTAAATGAGAATGCTATCCTTCTAAGTGGTTTCTATGCACTGATTGCTCTGTTGCTATTATCTACGTAGTAGTCAAAGTCATTTTTATAGAAATAAGTTAGATCATGTTAGCTCTCTACTCAAAAATTCATAAAAAGCTTCCTATATTCTTTAGGAGAAAAATAAAAAATTCTTATTTTGCCTACACCGTTTGCCCCCCCACAGAATTTCTCAGACCTCATGCTCTAACACTTTCTCCTTGCTCACTCACCTTACTCAGGGGACATGGGCTCCTAGATGTTCTCTGAACACTACAAACACATTACTGTCTCAGGGCTTTTTCATTTGCTGTTTCTCCTACCTGAAACATGCTTTTTCTAAATGTCCAGTTGTCCCTTTTCTCATTCTTTCAGAGCTCACTCAAATGTCACTTATGAGAGGTTTCCCTGATCAATATATTTAGACCAGGGCCCACCCACACCTACCTTGCTTTGCTCACCTTAGCATTCATTGATCACCACCATATATATTATACAAACAAACATACAAACACCCATTTGCTAATTTATTTATTGGCTATTCCCCACTTCTAGAATATAAACTTCTTGGTATAGAAAATTGGTCTCTCATTTATTCATTTCCTCTCGTTGTTCCAAGCAGATTTTCTAGAACAATGTTTGGTACATAACAGCTGCTCAATGAATATTTATAGGACAATAGAATAAATTGCTCATAGGGAGCCCAGACACCATTTAATTGAGTAGCCTAATAAAACCATGTCACAATTTAAACAGAATAACATGCAAAAGTGAAAATTAATTTAATTTAATTATTATTAGGCTAATTCATATATTTTTAATCTTACTGAGAGATCTATAAATATTCATGATACATTATATTTTCCTTCAAATACACTTCTTGGTTTAAAATTAGATATCAATCATCGCCCCCCTATATAAATCTTAATTTATAAGTTATGTCAAGGTTAGTAATTCATTTTATGTATATAAAAGTGTATCAAGACAATGGCTGAATATCAAAAAACAAACTGTATAAGGGCTGAGGGTAGGGGAGAGATGTCAAAGGGTTAGGATGGAAGGAACGACAGAAGGGCCTAAAATTAGTTGTTCTCTGAATGTGGTTATTATTATCCTGCAAAGCAATTCCATAGGTCTCATTATTTTAAGTACTTTTGATTTTATTGATAGTAAAGAAAGAGAAGAAAAAAAGAAAACAAAAGTCTATATATCAGATATAAAAAGAGGGGCAGAGAAAACTTTGGTCATCCTTATCTTCCTTGGAGGCAATTTATAATGCATGAACTTCAATATAAGTGTAAAGAAGCTGAAAAATTAATTGCCTAGCTCAGCCCTCACTGCCCAACATGTTTACATTCAAACTGTCTAAAAAATTATGGTAATGTGTTCTCTACATCCTTCTAATGACTGGAGAATGTAGAAGGCTAATGGCATTGGCTGGAATCTGGATGCGTATCTCTTCTTTCACATACTTGACATTATAGAAATGATACAACCCAACTCAGAGTCCTCATAGAGGTATAGCAAATTCCTGAGAGTTGTTAAATTGATTCTTTAAACGATTAAGAGGTGAACTTCATAAGAAAATAATTTAACAACCAGCAGTCCCACTTATAGTAACATAGAGGAAAATGCTGGCATTGAGGGAAGCTTCTCCTTCCCTTGTCATCATCAATACATTTTCTGCGAGTAAGCCCCGATCATGTTCCCCAAAGTGTGCTGTGCGAAGACCAGTAGCACTTTAACAGCATTGCATGGCATTAATATGTTTCTCACTTTTTATTTTAAATTGTTAAGATAAGAGACAGAAAAAGAACAGCAGTGGGAGAGAATATAAGGAAGCACAGTTATTGTCTATCATAAGTGATACATACACAGCAAGAGGGAATTTGAACTTTCAGAACTCTAAACAAGGGAGAACAGAACATACAAGATATTTGTAAAATAATGGAAGATAATGGAAAATGATGTATAATAATCAAAATGGACTCTGCCACAGTCTATACCTTAGATTATTAAAATATAACTTCTCATTTATTCCACAAATAAATGTTTACTTGGACAAATGGTTGCACTAATAGTGAATACACCCTTTCAGCTAGATGTGCCCTCATGACTAAGTTAGGACACATGGGAAGTGTGCAGAGGTGGGAGTGGAAATCAACATCCTTTCCCATTTAAGAATAATCTCCTCATCCTGGGCTTGTGCACCTTTACCTTCTCAGTTGGTAGAAGGCATTCAAAGTGATGATCTAGTATCTACAATGCAAATAAAGACAATGCTTTAAGAAGTCATGAGTTGCAACACAGGAGGTACCTCTGCCTCTAAAAGATCACATGGAGCAGTCTTCCTTTACACTACTGCTTGCCTCGGGGATTGTTAAGAGAAAAATACATTTTAAAAATATTATTTGAGTCACTGAATTTTGAGCCTCTGTTACAATAGAGTGGATGAACATAGAAATAAGTATGTAGAAATGTGGAATTACCATTTAAATCTCAAACTATAGAGTATTAGCTTAGTAGGAGGGTGGAGGGTGCAAAGAAAAAATACTTTAGGCTGGGAAACTGATGGCCGTTGTTATACCATTACCAGTGACAACTTGGAAAGCAGGCTATGGACCTGGATACACATTGCTAGAGAAAAATGTTGAACAAAGTCCAACTATTGGTGATCCTTGCTACTTTTAAGAAAGGTTTACAAATTATAAGAGTTCAAATAAGAATGGTCATTTTATAAGATGATATAAAAGTAAATAGAACTTTACTAAGAGAGGCTATCTTTTTCTGATTTATGTGTTAGTTCTATAATTTAAATTGATAGAAGGTTCAAAACTTCGAGGCTTAACAGGGTACAGTGAAGTTAGTTGCTTCTCTATTTCAATAGCAAGAGATAATATATGTTGCTCAAAGATGTCCTCACATCTTCCCATTGGACATTGCTACCATATATGATCCCTAGAACAATCCTTAGGCTTCCAAACATACACCAGAAGAAAGCATGCTGCAAAAATTGTAAAGTTCCCAAGGAGCGCATACTCTATGGGATTAAGATACGGCCATGGATAAGTTCATTTATCCACTGGGATAAAGAAGATCCTTCCAGGATATCTGACTTGACTCCCAGAAAGGAGAACTGAGGTTGCCAGATGCCCTTATCAAAAAACAAAACAAAACATTTCACTGCTGTTTCTAGGTGTCTTTACCTCTTGGCAGGATTTTGCAACTGCTATTGCCCACTGAGTCTTATGTGTTTTCTTCTGTTTTTCTCATGATAGCTTCCATTGCAGTTATTCTGTTCCCCTTTGACCACTTAATATTGAGTGTTTTGTATGGGGAAGAAGGTTGAGAATAAGAAAGATAATTTATCATTTTCAGGTTGCCAAATTGTAAATAACTACATTAATACTTAATGTCGAGATCTGCATATTTTCCAGAGGTCCTGGATTTTGGACTGGTTGCAATAATTGGAATGAAACTTAGATATTCTTTGTTGGGAAGAAAGTAGGTACTTTTTTTTCATAGAAAGAAAGATATTCACTCACATGTGGATGACTACAGCATTGGGCTATAGAAGACTTCTCGTTTTTCCCCTCTATAACCAATTCGTCCCTTATTCCATAAGATATACTGATCAGCTCAAAACTACATTTTCTAGTCTCGTTTACCTTTGAGTGTCTACGTGCAGAGTGATGTTACTAATTTTTTATGACTTGCTTATCCTCTATTTCCTTTCAGTTTTCATG